CTTTACCATCCTCACACTCCCACCTACCTCAAAGAACACTTTAAGTTCCTAGGGGCAAGTTCCCAGCTCGCTCTAGAGCTTTGCTCTCGCAGTGAAAGATTACTAGAAATCCCATTAGTCCATTCCACATCCTACAGTGAATCTTTCACTATTAAGACGGTGAAGCTCTGGAACGAGCTTCCAAATGAAATAAGACAGTCCAAGTCAATAAGCATTTTTAAAAAGCGTCTCAAAACACATTATTTGTCGCTTTACAACTAAGCTGTCATTATAGTTGCATGTATTATATTATTGTGTATATTATGTATGTTTATTATTATTTTATTATATTATTATGTATATGTATGTTTAAGTGTTTAAACAATAAATATTTATTGTATAAATAGTATTTTATATATGTATTTTTTTATGTATGTTTATAATATGTAATACGTCTATTGAGTACACTTTATGCACCTTTCCGCTTTCTGTTAACTTTTGTATCCTACTTCTAGCGGTTGCCTGTAAGAGATCACTTTTAGTGATAAGGCCGCCTTTGCACATTTCTTTAAATGTATTTTTTTGTATGTATCCTTTTTATTTTTGTGTGCAATAAAGTGTTTAAATAAATAAATAAATAAAATAAATATTTTTTTTATAAATTTTCAGATCCTCTATCCAAAGATTACTTCCTGGTCGGCCATCCACTCAAAATTATCTCAATACTCGTCGCATACAACTTTTTTTGTTTAAGGCTGGGACCATGGCTCATGAAAGATAGAAAACCATATGATCTAAAAAATGTAATCAAAATATATAACATATTTCAAATACTCGTCAGCTTATATATGTTTTATGTGGTAAGTTTAATATTTTGAAGTTATACTTCTTTTGGAACGTTTGGAAAAAATATGAAAGTAAAATTTTACGATGTATTTATTTACATTTATAAAAAAAAAACGAAGACAATAGTAAATTTACCAGAAGGCAAAGTAGCGATTACTTGTAGATGTTTGTTAAAACAAAAAAAGTATGAAAATGGATTTATAACGCCTTATAAAGCTAGGCTGGTAATAAAAGGATAAAAATATATAATAGGCATTGATTACGAAATTTTCATTTCACTTATGGACTTGACTTTAAAGCGTTTGTGTCCAGGAGAGGATGATGAAATATGGACGCCTTCACGCTTTAATATAGGAACTATCTCGTATGCCTCGGTGGTGTAGTGGCTAGCATGAATGGCGGCACAGCCGGAGGTCCTGGGTTCGAGTCCCGGGTCGGTCCAAATTTAGTTATTGAGTCTTTCTGTATAGTAAGTCTCAGTAACAGAACGGAGTTGGGAAGTTGGCGGTGTTTCACCCCCGTGCCTCGGAGAGCACGTAAAGCCGTCGGTCCTGCGCCTTAACTCACACTGGTCGTGTCGAGTGGTCGTCCCCCCAGAGTATGAGAGTGACGAGAATAGAGAGTGCACTTGTGTCTGCGCGTACACTTGTGCACTATAATACCTCCTGCGCATTTGGCTAGTCTTAATGAGATTGGCCGCCGTAGCCGGAATCGGCCAGGAGAACATCATAATCATCATTGTCAATTAATTATTCTCTAATAAATTTATTTTCTAAAACCTTGTGCTTTTGATATCATTTCATCACGCACCTCTCATATTTCCATGTGTGAATCATTTATAACATGATTACGACTTGCCTTACGGTGAAGGAAAAGATCATGAGGAAACCTGCATGTCTGTGGGAACTTAGCAAGTTTTCGAAAGATATGTGAAGTCCGCCAACCCGCACTTGGCCAGCGTGGTGGACTATGGCCTGATTCCCCTCGTATTGAAGGGAGGCCCGTGCCCAGCAGTGGGACGTTAAAAAGGGCTGAATACATACATACGTGAAGTCCGCCAACCCGCACATGGCCAGCGTGGTGGACTCACCCTCGCTCTGCTCGGGTTCGTCCCTACTTAAGTTTTAATGTTTAGTATAGATATCTCAAAGATGAGATATTTCCCCGCAGTAAAAAGTATTGCAATACTATTTATAAGAAATAAAGTAAGTGGACTATGGCCTGATCCTGAAGGGAGGCCCTTGTTCAGCAGTCCTGTTAAAAGGGGCTGAATACATTATTAATGCGAAAGTTTGTGTGTATGTTTGATACTCAATCACGCTACGACTATCTGTGTACTAATTTTCATTTAAATAAATCCAGTCGTTTCAACTTAAAGGAATGACAAAGTATAAACATTAAACATACGCAGTAAAAACATAGGACGTTTGCATTTAGACTGTAGTGGTATTAAGTAGGGTGGGTTAGTAGATGTATGTTAAATATAATAATGTATAATTACAGGGTTCAGTATACATTTTCAATAAAGACTTCGATTTTCGATGCTCACCCGTAGACGATCCAACGTCGGAAAGAGCAGCCATGGTAATATATTTACATAATATAATATTATTACTTTACTGTACTGTTGTTTATCTTGTATTAATAATAAAGTATTTGTATGTTTTTTCCCTATACATTTTTATAAATTTATAACTATTAAATTTCCACAACCCTTCCTTTCCCTGGTATGAAAAATGTATAAATTAAGTAAATTTAGTCAATAGGGAATATGCACTTTTTTATTTTCATACAATAGCTTAGATTGTTATATATAATTGTAAAAAAATATCCAGCTCCAAAAAACTAATATATTAAAAAAAAAATATTAAACGCCCACAATTTCGCGCGTTTGGGGTGACGTCACAGTATATCATACCCAGAAAATTGACTATGCAATATATAACTACAACATCCCCTATTTTACTCCCTTATGGCATGAATTTCGAAAAAAGCTAAAACACGTATTTATTTAATTGTATTGAAGAGCTTTAATACCAAATTTTAAGTAATTCTGATGATAAATAATTTTTTGGCTTGTATTATAACGTGTTTTCCCACAGGAATGAGATAATCTCCCGCGGTAAAAAGAAGCCTATGTCACACTCCAGCCCTCCACACAAAAAATCACGCCAATCCGTCACTCGGATCCAATCCACTGAAAGAAGGACAAACAAACAAACACACTTTCACATTTATAATATTAATATGGATATAGCAATATTATTATTTATGTGATTTAAACAATATATTGAATATATGTTTGTATATTTTATAAATACACTACATTCTGCATTTTTTTTGTTTTGATAATAAATAATAAATAAAATAATTACAGGTTGGCCCAAAATAACGTTGACAAGTGATTTTTCAAATAATTTTATTAAGTTTAAACTTTGATATTATGCTATAAATTTTAAAAATACAACTTATTTTTTACCAGAATCCCTATTTGTCTTTAAAATAACCTCCTTTAGCGCGAATGCATAGAGTCAAACGCTTGGTAAAATTTTCTACAATTTTCCGCCCTTCCTCAACAGATATTTTTTCCCACTCCCGTGTAAGAATAGACTTCAGATCATCAACAGTCTATGAGGCGTAGAACAGGTCCTTGCCTCTAATATTGACCATAAACTGTAATCCATTAGATTCAGATCAGGCGAGTAGGGTGGCCATTCTTTTGAGCTGATGAAATCAGAGAAATTGCTTTTGCACCACTGTTGAACACTTAAAGCTCTGTGAGCTGGAGCAGAGTCTTGTTGAAATATCTATGAATAGTTACCAAAGTGCTATTGACTCCAAGGAAGAACCACAGATTCAAGGATGTCTCGTCGGTAATTTTCTTGGTTAATTTTTATACCATTTTCTACAAAAACGAGGGGAGTTTTGCCAGTGGCGCAAATTGCACCCCAAACCATAATTGATTTTGCGTTTTGGCGACATGAAATGACTGCAGCAGCTCCAGGATGAGTGGAAGACCAGATCCTGTCATTTTGGTGATTATGGGCTTGTTCTATCGAAAACAATTTTTCGTCGAAGAATACGATATTTTACCAATTCGAAGCAGCAGAGCGTTGTTTAAGCAAACGACACCTCTCAAGGCGAACTTTTTTGTCTTTCTCTGTAAGCAATTGCGCTTTTCTGAGTTTGTATGGTATCAATTGGAGGTCATATTTCACTATACGCTGCACGGTGGAGCGACTTATACTCAAGTCTCGCGACATTTTTCTCACCTTGGTATGTGGATTTCGGACTAATCTTTGTTTGATAATGTGTTGGTTCCTAGCAGTTCGAACAGTCCGCTTGCGTCCTCTCCCAGGACGGTCTCCAATGTTGCCGAGCTCAACATAGCGTTTAATTGCTGAAGAAACTAGCTGACGACTAACACCAAGAATGTTTAATATCTCACACTGCCGTTTTCCACGCTCATACAATGAAATTATGGTTCCACGCTACTCTGACATAACGTAATAAATATATTTTAAAACTTTTTAGCCAACAAACAATATTAAAATTGCGCCAAAGAACGAAAAAAGAATAAACAAAAACAAAAGAGAACGCAAGGCGTTCCATTTAAAAAAAAAATTTTTTTATTTTGTCAACGTTTTTTTTGTCCACGGTGTAAATATCTTGTAACATTAACACACGACACCATCTAGTTCCATGGTAAGGTTCGAGGCTTGTGTTATGGATACCAGATAGTTGCTACACTATACATACATATATAACTTTAAGTACCTACATATTATAAATATAAACACCCATGGCTGGAGTACAAACATTCGTGCTCATTACACAAATTAATGCTCCCAGCGGGACTCGAACCCCCGACCGCTGGCACAGCAAGTAGGGTCACTACAAACTGAGCCAAACGTGTCGTTGAGATACATTCATAATATATTTAGAAAATACGTAACTTACTTAATATTTCTAAAAAATTATTAATGTAGAAGAAGTAAATTTAAATAATAAACATATATTTTTTAGAAAATTCTTAATGAGTTATCATGTTTCAGATTGTACCAAATGGTTTCTTATTTTTCATGGTGAAATTAATTGACCTACTAGACACCGTATTCTTCGTGCTAAGAAAATCTTTCAGGCAGATTACGTCCCTTCACATTCATCACCATACGATGATGCCATTGGCAACCTGGTTTGGGCTTACATATTTTCCAGGTAGGCATTGCTTATTTTTTAATTGTATGCAATATTTTTATGGGAATAGCAAAAATATCATATATAGGCAAAACAAATGTGCCAAAATACATATAAAATACTAGCCATACCCGCGGCTTCACCCGCGTCCAAACTTTCGATCACTAACAAAATTCATAGGATCATCCACTGGGTTAATCTGAAGATTACCTGAAAATTTCATCAAAATCGCTCCAGCGAGCTCCAGTTTTGGAGTCCATAGGAAACATACATATACACATAAATGTTTATTTTGTTTAATCAACAATTTTAATATATTTATTGTTTGGAAAATGGAGTCTTTTAAGAAAATTTAGTGATACACCGACTGCAGCGCCACTTACTGGGTCCATTTGTGTTTTCAAACCTTCATTGATTTTGATGTCTTTGAAAATAGGATGGATGATGTACTTAAAAATCTATGTACCAGTAGTAAAACTGTAATAGTATGTGGAGATTTTAATATGGACATACTGCAAGTAAGAGTACTAAGTAATCGCATTCTGAAATTATTTAAATCTTATACTTAACAAATATTTTTTTGCGAATTAACTCGTGTTACTAACATATCCTCCACATGTATAGATAATGTATTTTATAATTGTGAAGTACTTGATGTATCAATTTAAAAAGCTAAGTCTATATTTATTAGAAATAAAATTCTAAAATCAGATAATAAAACTAAAGCCACTTGGGATATAATTAGTCGTACAGCTGGAAGATCAAAGGTCACTAGTGAACCAGTGAAGCTAACAATAAATAACGTAGCACCGAGCTTAGACGAAGATGTTGTAAATACTTTTGTTAATTATTTTTCGGAAATCCCAATAAAGGTCACATCTTCTTTAAAATAATCTTCCCTAGACGCGATTAACCACTTACAAAAACATACACATCACTGTGATCACCAGCTTAAATTTTTGTATGTAGATGCACAAGATATTATTAAAGTATTTAAAACCATTAACCTTAAAAAAACTGGTGATTTATGGGGCATATGTGTTAAATTACTCAACTCTATAATAACTTACATTGCGCCACATTTATCCCTTATTTTCAATAAATGTGTAGATAATTGAACTTTCCCTGATCTTATGAAATTTAGTAAGATAACAACTCTTTTTAAAAGCGGAGATAAAAATGATCCTGGCAATTATAGACCAATTTCAATATTGCCATCTATGAGTAAAATTTTTGAAAAACGTATTCTAAGCCAAATATATATTAATTCATTTTAATATTAATAGTATCTTCTATAGTGAACAGTAGGGTTTTACCAAAGGAAGGTCTATAGCCGATACGGGAGTTACTCTTCTTAAACACATTTATAACGCTTAGGAAAAATCACAAAATGCAATTGGTGTTTTTTGTGATTTATCTAAGGCCTTTGATTACGTAGAACATGAAACCCTTCTGCTTAAACTAAGTCACAATGGCATTCGTGGCATTGCTCTTGATCTAATTGATTCATATCTTAGTGGTAGGGTTCAAAAAGACGCTGTAAATAACGTTAATTCTTCCGGATCCCCTTTGAGAATGGGTGTTCCACAGGGATCCTTTTTGGGTCCATTTTTGTTTCTAGTTAATATAAATGACCTTCCTTTTTATGCTAATAAATTGTATCATATTGTACAGTTTGCGGATGATACCTCTTTAATTTTTAAGTAGATAGAAATATAACTGATTATGACAAAGTAAACAGTGCGTTATCTCAAATACTTAAGTGGTTTAATATTAATAATTTAGCATTAAACACCAAGAAAACTAAATGTATTCAATTTACCCTACCTAATGTGAGGAGGCAGGATTTTAGTTTGTTTTTAAATAATGAAAGTCTTAATACTGTAGATTCCACAGTATTCTTGGGTATAACATTGGACTCAGGTCCTCAGTGGAGCCCCCATTTGTCATCTCTCGTGAGTAGACTGAGTTCCGCTGTGTTCGCTGTTAGGAAAGTCAGGCAGATAACAGATCTTGATACTGCTAGACTTGTTTAATTCAGCTACTTTCACAGCATCTTGACTTACGGAACTTCGTCGTGGGGTAATGCAGCGGATATAAAATCTATATTTATTCTCCAAAAAAGGGGCTATCGGGGCAATTTATAACATCGGAGCTCAGGATACCCTACGAGATTTTTTTAAAGAAATTGGTGTACTTACAGTTGCATCGTAATCTATACTAATATTATAAAGAGGTAAAGTTTGTGATCTTGTGAGTTTGTGGGTTTGTGAGTTTCTAAGTTTGTGACGTTGTAAGGGGTAATCTCTGGATCTACTGAACCAATTTTTATAATTATTTTACCAATAGAAAGCCACGTTCTTTTTGAGTGCCATAGGCTATATATTAACCCGAAGAATGAAAAAGATTTTTCGTGGTAGTCGGATTTGCAAAGTAAGTCGGAAAAAAAACGGTCGAACGAAATCGTTTCTTACGAACGCTGCCTTAACAATGAGAGATATATGATTATGTTCTAGAGAAAAGTTATAGAACCTAATAATGCCTACAAAAAAGTCGGCAACAGCATATGTCTAACTTTTATATTTAAGTCACAAAAAGTAGTTTTTTATATTAAAAAAGTAATTTAAATCGGTAGGTGATGTTTATTGGTCATATTATCAAAAAATTTTCCTTTTACTGCATACAATTTGGACAAATGGTTAAAGAGATAATACAACATATTCGTAGGTATGGATGAACACGAGCGAGCTGTTAGTCTGTTTTCCTGTTTGTACAGGCTAATCTCCGAATATATTAAACCGATTTAAATGAAATTATGCATGGTGGTACCTTATATCCCCGGGCAACATGTTAGATACTTTTCATCCCGGAAAATTAAGGAGTTCCCGTGGGATAGTTAAAAAACTATAACAACTTATACAGCTTAGTACACAAAAGCTACTGATTGGATTTTAATGAAACTTTACAATAATATAGTTAGTACATGGCAAAAACAAATCAGCTACTTTTCATCCCGGAAAAAACAAGAGTTTCCGTGGGATAGTCAAAAAACTATAGTAACTTATACAGCTTAGTACAAAAAAACTACTGATTGGATTTTGATAAAACTTTACGATAATATAGTGCATACATCAGAATAACAAATAAATTACTTTTTATCCTCCTTTATCCAAAAATGTACTGTTCCCGTGGCATAGATATTTTTGCTTATTTGTAACTTTTATGTAAACAATATAGGCCCCAAAACAATAGTTATTAAAAAGATTGTCTGTTTGTTGTTTGCCTGTATGTCTGTTTGTCTGTTTTTGCGTGAGCGTTTCACGCGAAAAGTAATATACCGATTTCAACGAAATTTGGTGAAGTGATAACTTATTACTCGAGTCAACATTTAGGACACCTTTTGTATGTATTTATGTATGTATGTATTCAGCCCTTTTCAACGTCCCACTGCTGGGCACGGGCCTCCTTCAGTAAGAAGGGGATCAGGCCATAGTCCACCACGCTGGCCAAGTGCAGGTTGGTGGACTTCACATGTCTTTTGAAAACTTGCTAGGTTCTCTCAGACATGCGGGTTTTCTCACGATGTTTTACTTCACCGTTAACACAAGTGGTATTTGTGTTAGAAATGATTCGCACATGAAAATATCAGAGGTGGGAGACCCGGGATTTGAACTTGCTTCATTTGGTTTCCCAAGCAAGCGCGTTACCACTGCGATACCACTGCCTAGATACCTTTTACTTCAAGAAAATCTTTCTTTCCCACGGGAAAATACAATAATTGGTTTTATAGAGTCCTCCCTAGAAACTTTCCGCTGGCTAAGCCTTAAGACATACATACATTAAAACAATATACTAAAATATTTGTAAGTCTTGAAAAGTCCTACAGAAAAGTTCTGAATTGTATATGTCTATGTCCTTAGGTACACTCGCTATAACTATTTTCAATATTATATATTACTGTTTTATTATACGTTATTTATTCTATTCTAAAATTAAAATTTGGCATGCTGATACCTTATATTGCCGGTCAAACAACAGGTTACTTTTCATCTCGGAAAAATGAACGATTCCCGTGAGATAGATCTGTTTGTGCTTTTCTAGAGGTGAACCCGAGCGAAGCGAGGGTGAGCCGCTAGTACTGAATAAGGCTTATTATACTGTCACGGAATACTTCGTAGATATGAATGTGTGAAACTAATGTCTGGTTGGGTCTCACGTAGGATAAATAGATAATAATAAATAATAATAATAGTTATCCTCAACACTTGTCGCATTGTTAGAAAATTCTTAGCAATGCAACAATAGACAAAAAATTTACATCACCTCTCTAACGTTTGACTAACGTCCGCGTTAGAGAAAAATAAACCCCAGCAATGGGAGAATTGAATGAAATTAAACTATTACATAGTAATACAATAATAATAATTCATTTTTTAATACTATGAATAAATTTACATATCAAAAATACATACATATGTACATAATAATAGTATTATATTAACATAAATATGATAAGACAGATAATACAAGACAGAATACTTATATAATATTATGATAAATTATGGGTACATAAATATATAAATATTTTTATATCATATAAATAAATAATAATAAAACATGTAAGTAAAAATGGCATAAAAAAACAAACAAAGATGGTAAAAAGATTATGGTCTAAAAAGAGTGGAAATGCAGTTTTAAACGATTTTTAAAAGTATTATATTATAGGTTTTGGCGCCTCTAACGCTCAAAGGGAGAGAATTCCAAAGTCGTGAGGCTGTTACAAAAATCTCTTTGCCCTGCCCATTCCCCAATCACTTGGGGTCGGCGCAGTACATCTTTTGTACTGCTGAAAGGATTTGGCAAAAGTTTTACGACCGGCCGCCTGCCTGACGTCAACCCTCCTTGGGAATGCTATTGTTGGCTGTTACAAGAATATTACATATAATTATTGTATTACAATATTGTACACAATTATTATTTTAAAAGAGCAACTGTTGAGTTTCTCGCCGGTTATTATCAGCAGAACACTGCATTCCGAGCCGGTGGTAGCTTCTTCACGGACTGACTACACTGACATTTAATTTTTATTTAAAACGTAAAATTGACGGTTCAAAAGAACTTATAAAAGACTATTTAAATAAAGTATATTTTGATTTGGTTTGATTCACCCACCCACTCGAACATACACAAAAAATATCATTAAAATCGTCCCTGCCGTTTAGGAGATGATCAGTGGCACACCGACTGCAGCAACACCTACCGGTTCCAAATGATGGATTCAAACCATCCAGGAGCCCATTGAAATATACCCACATAATTTCACCCAAATTGGTTCAGTTCTTTAGGAGGAGTAGGTTAACAAACACACGTGCAGAATAATTATATATTATAAAATATAAATAATAGATCCTAACCTATGAAGTTACGTAAAGAGGCACTGTTCGAAGTTTTCCTCTTGATGTTCGCTATATTATTTATAATTCATTTGTGAAGTCACAAATTGATTATTTAATACAACTTTGGGGCAATGCAGCTAAAAGTAATCTAAATATGTTACAAAGAGCACAAGACAGGTTAATTAAAACGTTCCCCCCCAACGTGCGTTCACCTTGTCGTGGTGGGGGGGCTCAGTAGTGCCCGGCAATCCAACCGGGCGCGAAGCTAAGAAACGCACAGGGAGGTTGCCCACTTCGGTGGGCGGTGGGAGGTGGCCCTCTTCGGGGGGCGGTGTACCTTGCGGGTTGCTCCTGGTACTTCTCTGATAGCAGAGTGGACCTTGGAGCAACCCCATGGTTGTGGTGGTCTGCTTTGGCAGACCTGCCGTCGGGGCGTCGTAGTTGAATGCGTAAGCGATCCTGCGACGCCCCATTAAGACGGGGGAAGGTTTTGTTGGGTTTTAGTGGGTAGTACTGGCTGTATTACGCCGGTGAGTCCCACACGTCGTGCGTAAATGCATTTCCTAACGTTAAAAATAAAATAAAAAATAAAGGTTAATTAAAACGTTATTTCATTATGATTACCTCACACCTACAAACCAAATTTATGAAGAAACGAAGTTTTTGACATTCACAAACTTATATTTATACTAGCATTGCCCGCGGCTCCGCCCGCGTTCAGATAACCAAAAATCAAATTCTTAGGTTTTTCATATAAGTATACTCTTACATTGCAGTTTTTGTATTTTTTTCTCAGAAATGAGATTCACTAAAAACTATCTTATATGTTATTATGTTAAAACTATCCTATATGTTGACCCGGATAATCAGCTATCATCATACCAAATTTCATCAAAATCTGTCCAGTGGTTTTCTCGTGATGCGGTAACAGGCAGACAGACAAAAAATCTAAAAACTATAGATTCGGCCTCTGTATCGATAATAATGTCTATTTCAATAAGATTTTCCATAAAATATTTATTGTACAGATTCGACTTAGTTACAATTTGATTGTATGTAATAATAATAGATATTAAATCGTGACATACAAACACAAATAATTTTCACGAAAAATAAACTAACGCATAGTAAATTGCTTCGAAATGCAAATAATTTAAAACTTTACAAACCACGCACAAATTACGGCAAAAATGTATTATGTTTGAAGGTGCAATGCTATATCAATTACCTAACAATATTAAAAGTGAAAAAGCAATGGAATCTTATAAAGAGAAATTAGAAATACATATTGGCAATAAATATATTAAATAAAACATCAAAAACCTAATCTTCCTATATTTAATATTAAAGTATGTATTACTAAATTTAGACTTAATAATATCATAATTTGAATTGAAATAGCAACATAATATTATATGACAGTTAAATAAAATAGGTACTTAAAGTAACTTCCAGTATTCTTATTCTGAGTTCAAATCCATAAAATAGTTTGTATTACCCGCAAAATATATTTTATTTGTTATATAAGTATTAGCTGCCCGTTTACAATATTACTGACGTAAAAGTAATGTTTCTCAGTAAGTGAATTATATATATTCTTTTGAGAAATAAATGAATCTTATACTTCAAGTTACCGTTTTACAATACTAGCCACTTGAAACGTAATTTATGAATAACCAGCAAGAAATTGTAAATACAAATGAAATTTATTTTAAAAGTATGGAGTTCTATTATTAAATACAGTCATTTGTTTATTGGTTAATGTTTTGTTTTCACTACATTGATATCTTTTTCATCAATATGGCCACAATAAAAATATGAGTAATTATGGAATACGAGTTTCGTTGCGGTAACAATGCCGCACAAACGACTCGCAACATCCCTCCACGAGCGCGGTCACGCCGGCGTTACAGTAAACAATAGATTTCTTAGAAATTTAATTAATTTCATAGAAATTTAATTAACTTCTTAGAAATTTATCTGGAGGTGTTAATGACGTGTACGGATTGAACACTACAAACGAACGCACGACTCGTTATTCGTTTGAACGCTTTTGACATGGAAATTTTGATCTAAAAAATGAATCCCATGATCGCCCGTTAAATTAAAATCAACATCGACGAATTAAAAGCGATAGTGGAAGCTGACGATACTCAATCTACGGCTGAGATAGCGGCGCGGCAGCTTTCAACGTTAGTATCAAAAAAATGGTCCATTCGCGTGAAATTTTCAAGGTTAAAAAAAACGATAAGTGGGTGCCACATGAACTGAACGATCGCCAGCGCGATGAACGCGTTGAGGTATGCCTTGTGTTGCTTAACAGACACAGAAACGAAGGGATTTTGAACCGCATTGTATTAAGAATAGCATTCGCATTCTTTTTCTTTATAATGAAAAATGGATCCTTTTTGATAATCGAAAGCGGTCATCATTATGGTTAGACCTTGGTTTATCACCTAGGCAATGCCCCAAACAAAAACTTACCCCTAAAAAAGTCATGGTCACTGTTTGGTGGTCTAGTGCCGGTATAATTCATCACATCTTCTTACCAAATGGCACTAGCATTATTGCGGATGTGTTCTGTGAGGAACTGGACACAATTATGGAGAAGCTTTAAAATCTGCGGCCAGTCTTGTTAATCACTCATCCCCACTGCTCCTCTACCGTTACACGACAACGCTCGACCTCATACGGCACAATAGACGGCATCTAAGCTACAAGAGCTAAGGTCGCGTCATCCACCGTACTCACCAGACCTTTGCTACCACTTACTTTTTCCAAAATTTGGACAAATTCTTGGCAGGGAAAAAATTCAATACTCGAAGAGCAGTACCAAATGCCTTTGAAGAGTTTGTTCACTCCCGTACACCTGGCTTCTTCAAGAAGGGCATTGAAAAATTACCACGCGCTGGCAGAGATGCATCGATAGCATGAAGCATATTTTGATTGATAGAAAAAAATATTTATAAAAAATGACTAACTTTTTCTATATTAAACGGCAATTTCATAGGTCAAAGACCTAATAAGTATATAGATTACCAAGTTTCAATTTAAACGTAGGTAGTAAGTTTTCTTAAATTAGGTATTGTTAGTATGTTTATTATTTATTATTTCTTTATTTGATTGAAATATGGGTAAAGGCTTCCTTCAACTTCTTCCATGTGTCCTTGTCCTTACTTAAGTTGATTCTAGTTGTTTCCTGTTTCCTGTGTAACATCATTAGTCCACTTTCTCCTTGGTCTACCAATCTTCCTTTTCCCCCATGGGCCTTTCCATCGTTTGGTCACTATGGTCCATTTTCCATTTAACTGCATGGATTACAAAATTTGATTGAAAATTAAATTTTATCTTAACACTATCTGTACAATTGGAATAATAAAATATTGTTTTCCTTTTTAAATCGATAAAAAAAAAATTGTATCTCCGTACAGTAAAGTAACCGTAAAGTACCGATAACCTACAGAAGTTGTACTTCTTGCGCATGTACACAATACACATTGATACATGCTCTTTTTCATATTTTTTTTAAATCACAGGTGGCCAAGTGGCGTTGATATGTTACGTGAATGCTTTAGTCCACGCTGTTATGTATAGCTATTACCTTATAGCCGGTCTTGGCAAAGAATACAAAAAATATTTATGGTGGAAAAAGTATCTCACAATGATGCAATTGGTAAGGACTATTAAAATTATTATAATTTGTGCTCCGTGGCCAAAAACAAAAACGAAACTTTTGTACAGCGCGGCTACAGGGTTAAAAAATGGCTTATGTCGGTAATGTAATGGTAAATTTATCGCTCGTTCTTTATCCAGTTAGTAAACCGAAATAATAATAGTTAACCATTATTAACTAAAGATTTCGGTTTTGATACCGAAATAAGCAGTTAATTCATTCGTTAGTAAGAAATGTACATATTCTATTACTAAGCCATTCACTATTAGCAAAGACGCGCTTAATGGAAACGCATTAAAACTCATTTTAAACGGTTAATTTTGGTTATGGAACCTATATTCGTTAAGAACCGTTCTTCTCCCAGTTAAAGAAAGTACCTTAAACCGAAATGCTTTTCGGCTTGGGATCATTGACCAAAACCGGCTTAAAAATTGAACGAGTTTCCGAGTTTGCTTTTGTAATAATAATTTTATCATATCTTGAACGCCGTCTGGGAACGGTCCATGAGAAAACCACTGGACAGATTTTGATGAAATAAAGTGTGATGATAGCTGGTTATCCGGGTCAATATATAGAATACTTTTTACTGCGAGAAAATATCTCATCCCTGAGAAATCTATACTAACCGTAAATAAAATAGCTTGCCAGCTTTTTAGGTTTACATGAATAGAGCTGTCCAATTTATTTGTATGGGTTATTAGTAGTATGTGGCTTTGTCATCGGTATATAATAATTCGCGGTCTCAGAACTTATTCGTTCAAACGATCAATTTTCTGAAAAAGCTTTGATACAGAATTATTGACTTTTATATGCCGATCTATTGGTATAGAATACACATTTTATTGTAATAAAGCTGAAAAAAATATTTTATCTATATATGTATATTTAAAGCTTTTTTTTAAATAGAAGATAATATTCAAATACAAGAAGTATATATTGATCGTTTGAACAAATAAGCACTAATATGAGGCGACGAACTGTACTTAACATATTTTTCTAATTAAGTAGTTTCCTAATTATAATAATATTATGTTTATGTTACAGGTACAATTTTGTATATTTATTATTCAAGCAACACTAAGTCTATTTTACGACTGTGGATTTCCAATAGTTTTGAAAATGGTGACAATTATTTATGCGGCAACATTCATAAACTTATTTGGGCGATTCTACTACAACAGTTATGTCAAACCGAATAAAAGTAATAGCGTACAAAATGGAAACTCTAAAGTTAAAACTGTCAAAGTACATTAAAAGATAAAAGATATTATTATAAGTATATAGATTATAATATATTTGCGACTAGAGACTTACCCTAGCTTCGATTGGGTTCGTCCCTAGGCAAGTTTTTTTTTGAGCGGAACCCTAATTCTTTTTCTAAAATAACAGTAACGTAAGTTACATCGGTCCAGCCGTTTCGGAGATTAGCCGGAACAAACAGATAGACAGACAAACAGAGACAAAAAAAATAAAAATTGTATTTTTTTATTAGTATCGTATATAATTTCATATGCATTTAGTAAGAAGCTGTTCTTTTGACATTACACTTTAACTTTATTTATCTGTATATTATATTATTATTTCTTTTGTTTTGTTCATATGTATTTCGTACCTATAAAATAAAAATATGTTAGATGTTACAGCGCTGTTTTATTTGTAGATTTCTGCATTACCTACTAACTATTAACACCTCCAGGTAAATTTCTAAGAAATTATTTAAATTTCTAAGAAATCTATTGTTAACTGTAACGCCGGCGTGTCCGCGGTCGTGGAGGGATTAATAAATAGAATGATATATTTTATCTCACAAACTCCAATTAGCTGTGATGTCCAAAAAAAAATTTCTAACTGAATTTTCTTAATCTATTTTTTTTAATATAAATAGCAATGAAAACTGAGTTTTAAAACCCTTGTTTTTATATTTATATATTTATTAGTATTTAGGTACTGCATTTTATACTACGCTATTTTGGACGATTTAAAAATGCCTTAGCATCATAGTACATGTACTTTTTATTAAATTGACTTTTACTCTATGTACATAACATGTAGTATATAAAATTTGATGATCGATTACGAACCTTAAAAAAATCCTTGTATTTTTATTTTCTTATTTTTAATAATTACTATTACGGTTCACGAGATACAGTCCTCTGACAGACAGAAGGCTTAGTAATAGGGTTCCGTTGGCACCATTCGGGTACGGAACCCTAAAAAGGAGAACCGTTTACAAAAAGAAATGAGATCCCATTAAACATAACATGTAAAAAACCAAGTCAAAAAGTTGTGAGATCTACCTAATATAAAACCAAGTCGATTAGATTATTCAGTACATATCTATGGAAGCATCTATCCCACAACTTTGTCATAAATTGTCACCCAATTAGTTAAATAACAACATTTTATAGTAATTGTATCAATATTAGATACAATTATTTCTTTAAGTATCTGGGCGACCGAGCTTCGCTCGGAGTTTTTGGGTAAGAGTATAATTTTGTTATAAGTTTGATTGTATAATTATTTTATATATCTATAGTTATTCATTAAAATGTTAATTTGACCTAAGTTTTTTACCTATCGGGATAATGTCAGGCAGGCAGGTATCCCAGAGACAGCCAGAAAAACACACAATTCGTGTATAGGGATTTAATATATGAAAATAAAAAAGAGTAATCGATAAAACGGAGTTACTTTTAAATTACGTCATAAATTTATTAATTAATTTATCTATTGTAGCTTAGCGCGGTCATTGTGCTTAATTAAAAATTTACATGGCATAGGTAATAGAATAGAATTTCGTATTCAAGCATTATACAATAATCTATACATATAATAAAATTGTAACTAAACCGAATCCGTACATGAAATATTTTTTGGAAAATCTTATTGAAATAGATATTATTATCGATACAGAGGCCGAATCTATGGTTTTTAGAATTTTTGTCTGTTTGTCTGTTACCGCATCACAGAAAAACCATTGGAGGGATTTTGATGAAATTTGGTATGGTGATAGCTGGTTATCCGGGTCAACATTTAGGATACTTTTTACCGCGGGAAAATATCTCATTTCTCAGAAAAAATAAAAAACTGCAATGTAAGAGTATTATACTAATATGTAAAACCTAAGAATTTGGTTTTTGGTCATCTGAACGCGGGCGGAGCCGCGGTCAATGCTATATATAATAAGTTTTATATAAAATTACAGCGTTGTTAACCTACTCCTACTAAAGGACTAGACCGATTTGGATGAAATTTTGTGTGTATATTTCAATGCACTCCTAAATGTTTTGAAAACACAAATGGGCCTAGTAGGTGGCGCTTCAGTTGGTGTGCCACTGATCGTTTCCTAAAGGGCAGCAACGATTTAAATGATATTTTTTGTGTATGTTCGAGTCCCTGCAAGGTTTGAATTCACAAATGAATCCGGCAGGTGGCGCTGCAGATGGTATATCACAAAATTTTCATAAAAGACTCCATTTTCCGAGCAATAATAATAATATAAATAAATTTAAATTGTTGATAAAATAAAAATCGATGTGTGTATGCATGTTTCCTATGGACTGCAAAACAGCTAGAGCGATATTGATGAAATTTTCAGGTAATCTTCAGATTAACTTAGTCGGTGATCCTGTGAATTTTGTTAGCGATCGGAAGTTTGGACAGGGGCAAAACTGCGGATACTGCTAGTTGTATATATTTTTCAAGTTGCTATAAAACACGTATGCCACATTTTAACTTAACGAATACGAAACAACCAAAAAATCCCTATTTTTTGGTTCAACTGCCACAACCCCATCTATTATTAACAAATGTAAACACACAAATGACAAGATAGATTAGACAGTATTGTCTTTCTTACAGATCTTTTAAGAACAATTTCTTTGTTTTTTAATAATGTCCAGATATCATCTGACATTCAGCCTAGATTAAAATAAATAAAACAAGTGCGAGTCGAATTCGCACACGAAGGGTTCTGTACCATCCTACATTTACTTTTTATTAATATGACTTTTGCTCTACATATGTATGCATTATATAACTTCGATGATCGATTACAAACGTAATTTTTTTTTCTTGTATTTTTTATTTTTATTATTTATTGTTATAGCGGAAATAGAAAAACATACTCTGTAAAAATTATAACTCTTTAACTATTACACTTCATGAGATACATCCATCTGACAGACGGATGGAGGGACGGACAGCGGAGGCTTAATAATAGGGTTCCGTTGACACCCTTCGGGTACGGAACCCTAAATAGTATATTTTTTAATATTTATTTATCTGTTCAATTAATTTTGAGCATATTCTGTTTATCTTAAAATAGATTTACAATTACTAACCTACGAGTATATTTAATTTCTATATGTAACTCATAAATGCGTATAATTGTAAAACTACTAGCAGACCTTAATAATATAAATAAACAGCTTTCTTCCAATTTTCTTCATTTTTTTTTAGTTCTATACAAATATACTTTATGGGTGAATGATGAAATATCAATAAGGAGACATAGTTTACTTTGGCTCCTGGTGCATTTAGTAGTTCTTGATGTGTTTTTACCTTGTCGTGAATTGTCGTGAATGTAATTGGGACATTTGGTTCATTAGTGCCCAGATTGTTGGGCGTAAAGCCAAGAGAAACATTGAGAGGTGGCCCACTTCGGTTAGAGATGTACCATACGGGTTGCTCTTGGTACTTCTCTGATAGCAGAATGGACCGTTTGAGCAACCCCATGGTTAATGTGGTCTTAATCTGAAGACCAGCCGTCGGTGATCGTGGTTCCATTGAGTTTTAGTGGATTGTACTGGCTTTTCTACCCTAAGAGCCTCCACATAAATATACAGGTGGTAGGCGTGCTTTATACGTATACGTACGTACATACGTTTCCCAACGTTAAAACAGGAATATGAATAACTTCAACTTAGTACACTAGTTTCTACAGAAAACTTTAAGCAATGAAACTATTTTTTTCTTCATTAGTCAAGTATTGGATATCAAAGTCTAATTATATACGAATCTACAATTCAGTCTCAAAATTGTTTTGCTTGTCCATTTATGCTGTTTGTAAGGTTAGATAGATGACTTGCACGTTAAGTATATAATTTACTAAATCTAATTACATGTACATAAAATATAAATTAATTTTATTGTGTTTCAAGTTTTAAATATAAAAAGAATACTTTTGAGTCAAAACGTGTGTGTAGTTTGAAAAATGTTAGCTCTACAATATATTATAGATAGTTATTATTATGTTTTTGAAGAATTAGCTAGTGAGTGTTTTTATATTAATTTAGTACCTAGACAACCGAGCTTTGCTCGGAGTTTTTGGCCAGAAGTACATTTTCCTTATTAATTTGGCTTAAAAACTAAAAAAAAAAACTAAAAAATTGTATTAATACAAGAAAACACAACGAAAGTAAAAACTTTATGTGAATAATGCAAAAGAAAAGTGCATAAAAACTCGAAAACACGCGTTTTCCCAGATATAAGAAGATGGTTTAAGACCATGGGAAGGGTATAGGATACTTTTTATTCCCGAAATCATCCCTTATGGGGGTGAAAATTGGTATGAAAGTTTGTATTGAGAAGCAAGTTGAGTCGCTAGTGTATAATATTTTACTTTTAATGTCGGTTGTCACCGAATTTCAAACTGAGCTATCTGACAATGCTTTAAGATATAGGTAAATATATAATAGGTTAATATGACAAGATGTGAACTTTTATTATAGTTAAAATATTTAACACGCATTTGTGATGTAATTTATGATATCGAAATAGATTTGCTCTACTTTGCATCGGTTCGGACAGACTTCAGAAATATCTGATTAGGTATCTGTAGTAAATGAAAAGCTACGTGTATTACTTTTTGATGTTTGGAAGTCGGGTTTATATTATTTTTTCATCGAGTGGTATAAATATTTGTATATTATGTAGTTAAAAATAAATTTGGAGCCGGAAACAAATTTTTGTAACTTGTCTATTCTACTTAAAAAAATCTTTTCAAAATTTTCCTCCCAAAAGACTCAGATCTGGTGCAATCGTATTACTAAGCTACGATATCCATCCGTCGGTGCATCTAATATCTCAAATATACTGTTATTTTATATACTGTTAAGTGCTAGTCGGAACTCGTACTTGACGTATTTTCACGGTTAACTGATTGGTTTCGTCCGTTATAGAAATTCAGGGAGAATTGCATCAAATTATGCAATCAATATTAATAATATATGTAAGATATTAAAGGAAATACGCATTGTTTATTTGAATCACTCTTTATATATGCCACTCAGATTAAATTTGGAACTGTCGTGCAATATATTTTAGATTAAAAAATAATTCTTTATTAAAATCCTCACCTAGACATGTGGATTAGTTGCCTATAGATATCAGGGATAGATGCCTACGAGTAATAAGTGATTAGTCAGACGTTACACTGAATCTTCACTGCGTATTCATGAAACCATAATGAACAAACTGTAATCAGTTGCATTTCTTCTTACCGGCGTTATAATACTCTCCACATTAAGCAAATATCTTTTTTATGCATTTACGCATGCTACCTGTTGACGTACAGGTGGTTATGTGGCACTTACCGGCTAGAAAAGCCAGTATTACCCACTAAAATCTCCACCGTCTTAATGGGGCGTCGTAGATTCGATTACGCTCTCAACCACGCCACTCCGACGGCAGGTTTGCCGAAGCAGACCTCAACAACCATGAGGTTGCTCCCACGGTTCACTCTGCTGTCTAAGAAGTACCAGGTCAATCCGCATGGTACAGCGCCCATTAAAGTGGGCCATCCCCCAGTGCATTTCTTGGCTTCGCGCCCGGCTGAATTGCCGGACGTTAAAGAGTTTCCCCACTACGTTAAGGTGAACGCACGTTGGGGGGTGGAAGGGGGGACCAATTAATATTTACTGGGCATCTAACACTGAAACGTCATTGGGCATCTCTCTTGATCATTAGGGAGAAATGCATATCGACTCTGAACGCACCCTAAAGCATTTATTATACAAAATGGTGGATTGTTAACAAAACAAGACCATAAAAATGTTAGGTTATGAAACAATTTAATACTATTTATGTCACGAATTTAGGAAAAAAATACTGCCAACTATTTCAAAGATTATAGGTATTCTAACGTTTTAATTAACTATACTTACATTATTTTACGAATAAACACCAAAAAAATAATTAAAAGTGCATATTTTGCGAATAAAAAACTTCCGCACTGACATTAACTTTCGACTGACGTATTATGGATGCGTTCGATATCACGCAAAAATTTCATTTTAATTTTTAAATTGAGTAGGCATCTATACCCTATAGGCGTCTCTCCCGTTTTTAAATGTTATTTTTGTTAACTCATGCCCTAGCATGACAAAACGTTAAATAAAACATATGCGTAAAATTAATATAATACTAAGCAAGTAACGCGGATTTAGTTTGCACATTTTAAGGTTTCTATGTCTTAAGGGAAAAGTTCGAATTGTGGGTAAATCTTTTAAGCCGTAAAAAAAGAATCGTAGAAGTTTATAAAAAAATCTTTAAGTTGAAATTAAGGGTATATATGTAAAAAAATTATAAAGCTAATATGTTTTTCAGGTCCAATAACTAAAGGATGGTTCCTAACCAAGAAACCATATCAATTAATAGGTCTTGTGACCGCCTATTACTATTTCTGCACAAATTTAGGACCACGTCTAATGAAACATCGGAAACCATTTCATTTGCCAAAAGTATTGCTAGTCTATAATGTGGTCCAAATTACTGTAAACTTTTATATAATTATTGAGGTAAGTTTTGCTTTTTATTAGAATTTATATCATCATAATCATAGCTTTAAAGCCCAGAATGAGCCTTGGCCTGGTAAAGTATATTTTTCCAGTTTTCTCGATTTACGGCTGTCTGTCTCCATCTCCTGATACCAAATGCTCTAATGTCCTGCTCTACGCCGTCCAACCACCTGAGATTAGGCCCGCCTTGATATCTGCACCCATCTAGTTTACCCTCGAGTAGGCGTTTGGGCATACGGGAATCCTCCATACTCACTACATGCCCAGTCCAGAGCATACGTTCGATTTTAATGGTCTTAATAATGTTTGGTTCTTCGTAAAAGTGGTACAGCTCGAGATTGTAACGCGTTCACCAACATTCGTCCTCTAGAACTGCTCCGAAAATGCGCCTAAGTATATTCGTTCGAACATCAAAAGAGATTATTATTAGTTAAAAAATGATATTAACTAATAAATAGTCACTAACCAAAAATTGAAGTTAAATATAATATAATCAAATAATTTATAAATATGATCTGTTAAAATACAATGTTAAAAATTATAAAGTAAGTAAAAGTAATTATAATTTAAAATTAAAAGTATGCATGTATGGAATAAATAAGCTTTATTATTATTATTATACTCTAACATTGCCGTTTTTGTATTTTTTCTCAGAAATGAGATATTTTCCCGCGGTAAAAAGTATCCTATATGTTGACCCGGACAACCAGCTGTCACCATGCCACATTTCATCAAAATCCCTCCAGTGGTTTTTCTGTGATGCGGTAACAGACAGACAGACAAAAATTCTAAAAACTAGATTCGGCCTCTGTATCGATAATAATTTTTATTTCAATAAGATTTTCCAAAAAATATTTGATGTACAGATTCGGCTTGGTTACAATTTTATTATATGTATAGATTTGCTTCGCATCGGCTGGCACCGACTTTGAAAGTATCTGTAAGGTATATACTCTAAATGAAAACCCTCATTTACTTATTTTTTACATGTTAGTGCCTGGAAGTCATTTTTTTTAAGTTTTTATATTGAATGGAATAACTTAATATGATGTAATTTTATTAAAAGTTATTATGTATAATTAAGTATGTAGTTAAAATTTCATTATTTCAAATGGTGTAAGAAATACAATCTGCATGTCTTAACATACACTCTGCGCCAAAACTATAGTACGTTATATATCTTTCATTATAGCTCTATATGGTGTTGTTTGATATATCCATTGCCACCTAGTGATGTGCCAAAGAAGACTTAGATACAATAGGGACTTATTTAAAAAGTTACAGATTTACTATAATACGGGTCATTTTGGTGCTATGTGGTGGCATGGTGGTATAGTGGTGATATTGCAGCATCAGGCTAAGGTTTCCATATTATTGCAACGTCTAATGACCAGTTTAGTAATAACGAGGGATCATAGGCTCGTCCATACATACATACAGGTCAAACACATAACCCTCCTTTGGGATCCATAGTCCTGATCCATAGATCCATAGTCGAGTAAAAATAATACTAATATCCTTTTTGTTAATTTAGTCTTTCAGATACATTTTTCTCTCTAATTATTTTGACATGCGCTGCAAAGGACTTGAAAGTGATGAGGATATAGCGACATGGGTGAGTATTAATGTTGCTATAGTTATAATACACTTAATAGATTAAGTTATATCTTTTAAATTTTTAGGGTCTTTGATGTCTTTTCTCTTTTCTTACAAAATATTATATAATCTTTGTCGGCAGATGCGAGAGAGATCTATAACTGTTACTTTACAGAGGTCAAAAACTATAGTGTTTGTTCTTAAATATTCGAAACGTCGGGAACAAAAAACTACAACAAAAATATAAATTATTATTTCTTAACCCCTCTTTCACATCGGGATTTACTAAATGCTATTCCAAAATGCATAAAAAACTAGGTATCAAAAAAGACTTCATCACTCCGATAGGATATTTGTCTGTGAAAAGTCGTAAGGGTTATTTTTGTAACACGCAAAAATTATGTGTATTCAACCCCACATGCTCAGCGTCCCGTCGTATTGAAGAGAAGCTCACGCCCAGCAGTGCTGGGCGCTGGGCTGGGTTCAGGCCATAGTCAACCACACAGGCCAAGTGCGGTAGACATGCAGGTTTCCTCACAATGTTTTCCTTCACTGTTAAGACAAGTGGTAATCATATTGAAAATGATTCGCACATGAAAATATAAGAATTACGAGACCTGGGATTTGAACTCGCTTCACTCGGTTTCCCTAGCGAGCGCGTTGCCACTGGGCTACCATTGCCTTACATTTCACATATATAAAAATATTTTCTTTGTCTTTTAAGGTTGCCGGTCGCGTGTGGGTATATTATATGTTAAAAGTATCAGAATTACTAGATACAGTATTCTTTGTACTTAGAAAGTCACTCAGGCAAATTAGCAAATTACATTTGCACCATCACATCTTAATGGTAATAGCTGCATGGGCTGCAATCACTTATTACCCTGGTAAGAATAAATAATTAAAATACCCTACGTGTAAAATTTTATAAGGATGTGTTAGTGATAAAACTCTGCATATAAATAAGCCATGACCTGGACTAATCTATGCTATCATATAGCAATAAGTTAGCGAAATCTGTACATGAAATATTTCTTAAAAATAACGACTGTAACGTATTATGTACACAATATAGACCCCCAAACAATAGTTATTAAATTTTTTGTATGTGTGTTTGTGTGTGCGCGTTTCACTCAAAAAGTAATGAATCGATTTCAACGAAATTTAGTGAAGTGATAACTTATTACTCGTGTCAACATTTAGCCTTAGGATACCTTTAACTTCAGGAAAATCCTTCTTTCCTATGGAAAAACACAATAACTGATTATATCGAGTCGTCCATAGAAATCTTCCGCTCGCTAAATCTTAACACAATCATCAAAAGAACGTACTAAAAAATTGTAGGTCTTGAAAAGGCCTACAGAAAAGTCTATAATAGTTTATGTCTATCTCCTAAGGTACACTCGCAATACCTATTCTTATCTATACATCTATACTACTATACTAATATAATAAAGAGGTAAAGTTTGTGAATTGTGAGTTTGTGAGTTTGTGACGTTGTCGGTAATCTCTTGTTGTTGGTAATGTCTGGACCTACTGAACCGATTTAGATGAAATTTGGTAAGAAGATAGTTTACGACCCTAATTAATTTAATTGTTAGGAGAAGGTCTGTACATAAGAGATGGTTTGAAAAATTGTAAGTACCTAAAAGTAAAAAAAATGATTTAAAAACTCTCCATATAAAAAGTGAGTTGACAGATTGACGTTTGAAAGTTTGTCATGGGAAGCAAGCTAGGGACGAACCCGAGCGAAGAAAGGGTGAATTGCTTGTATTATTATATTATTCGATCAATAGTCCTACTAGATTTCGGGCCGGCGTAAGAAATCCGTCTCAGTAAGCATAAGCTCACTTGCAAAGTGGGCGTATATTTCGATTAGTTCTATTGAAACACTGCAAGAGTAAATACGTTCGTTCGATGCCGCAATAAGTATTTAAAAGTTGCAAAAATTATGCGTGAAGAAGAAATTTTTGAGGCGGAGTGTCTTCTTTTCGGTAAATACATGTAGATTTAGTCAATATTTTAAGATTTAACCAACGAAATAATATAAAAATGAAATTTTTAACAATTTTATATCCCCTAAGAACGTTCTCCCAGGTCGGCCAATACACGCGCAAATAGCTTCAAGGCTCGCGGATACGCCGGCATGTCAGTTAACAATTGATTTCCCGGAAACTAACCACGGAGGCGTTAAAGAAGTAAAACAGAAACAAAACATAACGATTTAGATCACAAAGCAAAAACGGGAAAAAGTGATAAATATAAGGTTGATTTTACAATAAAGATTATAAAAATTACGAAATGATCGTAAGTGTGTAATCCTCCAGGTAAATTTCTAAGAAATTAATTAAATTTCTAAGAAATTCATTGTTAACTGTAACACCGGTATCCCCGCGGTCGTTGAGGGAATTTGAAGATTTGTGACTTTATTACAAGGTGCTATTGTGTTGATAAGGCTGAAAATAAAACTATTATAAGACTTTGTCTTCGTTCGTTAGTATACAAATGAAGCCGTATAAGTGCATATTCACGCGGACAGAATTTAGCTTTGATTTTGTATGTGACATGTTATCTAGTAGTATTGTTGATTGAAAATTATATAAAAGGCAATGTCGCGACTCACTGACTGACTTATCAACGTGTAGCTCAAGCCGATGATGATAGACCAGCATCACAAAAAAAAAACCAGCTTTATATATCCGTACTAATATTAAATGCGTTACCTTTACCTTTTCACACTTACTCTGCTGAACCGATTTAGATGAATTTTGGTAGGGAAATAGTTTAAGACCCTGGAAATGACATAGGATAGTTTTCATCTAGGAAAACATATTATCATATATAAGGGGGTGAAAAGGGGGGTCGAAGATTGAAAGGAGAAGTCATTTCTCAAGTAAGAGATATAAGCACCTATATTTTTTTATTTGTAATAATACTTACCCACTATACTATTTACATTACATATATATGTATTTATAGTATATTCCATATTTACCGTTAAAACGCACCAAGAGACGAACACGAGTAAAGCGAGGGTGAGTCGCTAGTGAAGAATAAAACAAGAATTCCATGGGATAGTAATTCAACTTTAATATTATTTTAACAACACGTTTGTCCTTAATGTATAGATTTTATAGTAATTTACTAGCAATATACCCACAATATAATCACAATCGAATGAATAGTTTAGGAACGCAGAGGACAAATATACAAAGAAACAGTGATTTTTATTACAATTTATTATCTATTACCGACTCATCCTCGCTTAGCTCAGGTTCGTCCCTAGATACGTTTTGACGCTTAGTATGTAATAGATTTTTTTTCTTTTTTTTTCATCATTAGTTATTCTGTTATTCGGGGTGAAGACTAATTCAACAAAACAAAGATCATTTATGATCTTTAGATCGGTCTAGTACTTCAGAGTTATAGTGTTGTAACATACCCGACTTTGTTTTTTATCTAAAGATAAGATTTATAATATATAAGAACTTTTTAAGAAATTAAGGCCAATGGCCAACTTTTTCAGAAATTACGAATGGCCAGTACTACCCACTAAAACCCAACAAAACCTCCCCCGTCATAATGGGGCGTCGCAGAATCGCTTACGCATTCATCCATTCCATGACGCCCCGATAGCAGGTCTGTTGAAGCAGATCACAACAACCATGAGGTTGCTCCAACAGTCCACTCAGCTGTCATAGAAGTACCAGGAGCAACCCGCATGGTACACCACCCAGCGAAGTAGGCCACCTCCCTGTGCGTTTCTTAGCTTCACGCCCGGCTGAACTGCCGGACACAAATGAGCCCCTAACCACAACAAGGAGAACGCACGTTGGGGGGAAGCAAAAAGATACCTACGTTTTGTTATTATATTAAGTAATATAATATGTTTAACTTATTAACTTTCCAGGTGGCCAGTGTGTAATAATTGGATTTCTCAACAGTATTGTCCATGTGATTATGTACTTCTACTATCTGATCTCTGGGCTTGGTAACAGATATAAAAAATACGTATGGTGGAAAAAGTATGTAACAATTATTCAACTGGTACGTATAATTTTATTATAATACTAGCTGACCCGACAGACGTTGTCCTGTCTACACGTCTCTAATTTGAAAATTTCAAACTTTTTTTAATAAGCTAAAACATTCTGGACCATTTTGATGAAAATTATTATTCAAATTGTGAATCTAAACCATTCTCAGATCCCCTTGAACACACACAAAAAATTTCATCAAAATCGGTCCAGTCGTTTGAGAGAAGTTCAGTGACATACACACTCACAGAAGAATTATATATATAAAGATTTATGTAACTTCTAAGCAATTATTGTAACTTAGACTTATTAGCGTTTTTCAGGGTACACTCTATTATCTTGTTGAAATATAACGTTTTCAGTATGGTGATGATTATGGGAAAAAAACAGATTGTTATGAATGTATGTACATTACATTTTTGATTAATTTTATTAATGTAAATGATGGCTTAAAAAGGGGAGTACATTTCTTTTATATTATTTGAAGTCAAGGTTAAATGTCTATTAAATATTTTTGAATAGTTTGTGTTAAAGAGGATTCATCACTTCTACGCTTGGCTTCTATTACATCTCAATGGTTGTATGTAACAAAAGCCCCGTTTACAGTTTTTCATTTTTTTTTATCCATTTGCCCGTGTAGAGTATAGATGTACATATTATGATGGGTCTGGATAGATTTTAATAGGATATTTTTCACTGCGAAATACGTCTTATCCTTTAATAGGTATCGGGGCAAACCTCATCTCAAATGTGAATACTCTCAGATTTTCTTCTTTTATCAACCGACTTCCTTAAAAAGGAGGAGGTTCTCAATTCGACTGTATGCTTTTTTTTATGTTTGTTACCTCAGAACTCCGTCATTTATTAACCGATTTGGATAATTTTTATTTTGTTTAAAAGTGTATACTTCCAGATTGGTCCCATTTAAATTTTAAAAAAAATACCACCCCTAAGGGTGGAAAAATAGCTAATGATGAATTTTATCTACTTCTAATTGTCATATTGACTTGAAACTTTGCAAGTGTTTCTATTTCCGTTGATAGTACAGTGGTTCGGTATTGTAAACCTGATATGATGGTTAGGCCAGAAGGTGAATAGGTGGAACTCTTCAACGACTAATAATTATTTGGCTAATAGATATTTTGAGTTTGGGCTTATTTTGTTTGATGCTACTACTGTCTACACTAAAAAGGTAAAAAATAAAAACTTTTTAACAAAAAAATAAAAACCGACTTTAAACAAAACCATTAAAAAGTAAAAAAATAACTAATTCGTAGTTTTCATTTACTATACATACCTAATAAAATATTTTCGAAGTCGGTGTGCTTTGCTTTGTATTATAAAAAAAAGTTTTTTCCTTCACCATATTACGTTCGCTGTATGATTTGGGATATGGAATACAATAAGTTGCATCACTTGGTTTTAAATGGAATGCGCTACTAATAAAATATTAATAGGCCAAGTTTTAATTTAGAAGCTCTTTGATTTATTATTAAATGATGTATAGAATTGTGTAGGTAATGTATAAAATAGCTTATGAACATAAAATTAATAAATAATTTTTGTTACAGGTCCAGTTTGTTTCAATTGCAATCCATAATATAAACAGCATGTTTTATGAATGCAGCTATCCTTTTTTTTTTAAATTCTTACTAACATTTTACAGTCTTGTCTTCTTTACTATGTTTGCACAATTCTATAACAACACCTATGTAAATCCCAAACAAAAACGGAAGTCTTCAAATAACATCAAGAAACAATGACGTATCTACTACATGAATTCAAAATACTCAAATTAATTATTATTTATTATTAAAATATATTTCGATAGCATTTTTACCTATGTTTTGTATTATCATCCCATAAGACCCTTATTACTTAGATTCTAAGTACTCAAAAGTTAAACATAACATGTAAAAAACCAAGTAAAAAGTTGTGAGATCTACCTAATATAAAACCAAGTCGATTAGATTATTCAGTACATATCTACGGAAACATTTATCCAACAACTTTGTCATAAATTGTCACCCAATTAGTTAAATAACAACATTTTATAGTAATTGTATCAAGATTAGATACAATTATTTCTTTAAGTATCTGGGCGACCGAGCTTCGCTCGGAGTTTTTGGCTAAGAGTATAATTTTGTTATAAGTTTGATTGTATAATTATTTTATATATCTATAGTTATTCATTAAAATGTTAATTTGACCTAAGTTTTTTACCTATCGGGATAATGTCAGGCAGGCAGGTATCCCAGAGACAGCCAGAAAAACACACAATTCGTATATAGGGATTTAATATAAGAAAATATAAAAGAGTAATCGATAAAACGGAGTTACTATTAAATTACGTCATAAATTTATTAATTAATTTATCTATCGTAGCTTAGCGCGGTCATGTGTGCTTAATTAAAAATTTAAATCGCATATGTAATAGAATAGAATTTCGTATTCGAGCATTGTACAATAATATATACATATAATAAAATTGTAACTAAACCGAATCTGTACATGAAATATTTTTTGGAAAATCTTATTGAAATAGATATTATTATCGATACAGAGGCCGAATCTATAGTTTTTAGAATTTTTGTCTGTCTGTCTGTTACCGCATCACAGAAAAACCATTGGAGGGATTTGGATGAAATTTGGTATGGTGATAGCTGGTTATCCGGGTCAACATATAGGATTTTTACCGCGGGAAAATATCTCATTTCTCAGAAAAAATAAAAAAACTGCAATGTAAGAGTATTATACTAATATGTAAAACCTAAGAATTTGGTTTTTGGTCATCTGAACGCGAGTGGAGCCGCGGTCAATGCTATATATAATAAGTTTTATATAAAATCACAGCGTTGTTAACCTACTCCTACTGAAGGACTGGACCGATTTGGATGAAATTTTGTGTGTATGCACTCCTAAATGTTTTGAAAACACAAATGGGCCTAGTAGGTGGCGCTTCAGTTGGTGTGCCACTGATCATTTCCTAAACGGCAGCAACGATTTTAATGATATTTTTTGTGTATGTGCGAGTCTCTGCAAGGTTTGAATTCACAAATGAATCCGGCAGGTGGCGCTGCAGACGGTGTATCACTAAATTTTCATAAAAGACTCCATTTTCCGAGCAATAATAATAATATAAATAAATTTAAATTGTTGATAAAATAAAAATCGATGTGTGTATGCATGTTTCCTATGGACTCCAAAACAGCTAGAGCGATTTTGATGAAATTTTCAGGTACTCTTCAGATTAGCCTAGTCGGTGATCCTGTGAATTTTGTTAGCGATCGGAAGTTTGGACAGGGGCAAAACTGCGGATATTGTTAGTTGTATATATTTTTCAAGTTGCCATAAAACACGTATGCTACATTTTAACTTAACGAATCCGAAACAACCAAACAATAGGGTGATTCAACTGCCACAACTCCATCTATTATTAACAAATGTAAACCACACAAATGACAAGATAGATTAGACAGTATTGTCTTTCTTACAGATCTTTTAAGAACAATTTCTTTGTTTTTTAATAATGTCCAGATATCATCTGACATTCAGCCTAGATTAAAATAAATAAAACAAGTGCGAGTCGAATTCGCACACGAAGGGTTCTGTACCATCCTACATATACTTTTTATTAATATGACTTTTGCTCTACATATGTATGCATTATATAACTTCGATGATCGATTACAAACGTAAAAAAAATTTCTTGTATTTTTTATTTTTATTATTTATTGTTATAGCGGAAATAGAAAAACATACTCTGTAAAAATTATAACTCTTTAACTATTACACTTCATAAGATACATCCATCTGACAGACGGATGGAGGGACGGACAGCGGAGGCTTAATAATAGGGTTCCGTTGACACCCTTCGGGTACGGAACCCTAAATAGTATATTTTTTAATATTTATTTATCTGTTCAATTAATTTTGAGCATATTCTGTTTATCTTAAAATAGATTTACAATTACTAACCTACGAGTATATTTAATTTCTATATGTAACTCATAAATGCGTATAATTGTAAAACTACTAGCAGACCTTAATAAAATAAATAAACAGCTTTCTTCCAATTTTCTTCGTTTTTTTTTAGTTCTATACAAATATATTTTATGGGTGAATTATGAAATATCAATAAGGAAACATAGTTTACTTTGGCTCCTGGTGCATTTAGTAGTTCTTGATGTGTTTTTACCTTGTCGTAAATTGTCGTGAATGTAATTGGGACATTTGGTTCATTAGTGCCCAGATTGCCGGGCGTAAAGCCAAGAGACACATTGAGAGTTGGCCCACTTCGGTTAGAGATGTACCATATGGGTTGCACTTCTCTGATAGCAGAATGGACCGTTTGAGCAACCCCATGGTTAATGTGGTCTGAATATGAAGACCAGCCATCGGTGATCGTGGTTCCATTGAGTTTTAGTGGATAGTACTGGCTTTTCTACCCTAAGAGCCTCCACATAAATATACAGGTGGTAGGCGTGCTTTATACGTATACGTACGTACATACGTTTCCCAACGATAAAAAAGGGATATAAATAACTTCAACTTAGCACACTAGTTTCTACAGAAAACTTTAAGTAATGAAACTAGTTTTTTCTTCATTAGTCAAGTATTGGATATCAAAGTCTAATTATATACGAATCTCAAAATTGTTTTGCTTGTCCATTTAACCTGTTTGTAAGGTTAGATAGATGACTTGCACGTTAAGTATATTATTTACTAAATCTAATTACATGTACATAAAATATAAATTAATTTTATTGTGTTTCAAGTTTTAAATATAAAAAGAATACTTTTGAGTCAAAACGTGTGTGTAGTTAGAAAAATGTTAGCTCTACAATATATTATAGATAGTTATTATTATGTTTTTGAAGAATTGGCTAGTGAGTATTTTTTATATTAATTTAGTACCTAGGCAACCGAGCTTTGCTCGGAGTTTTTGGCCAGAAGTACATTTTCCTTATTAATTTGGTTTAAAAACGAAAAAAAACTTAAAAGTTATATTAATACAAAAAAAACACAATGATAGTAAAAACTTTATGTGAATAATGCAAAAGAAAACTGCAAAAAACTCGAAAACACGCGTTTTCCCAGATATAAGAAGATAGTTTGAGACCATGGGAAGGGCATAGGATACTTTTTATTCCCGAAATCATCCCTTATGGGGGTGAAAATTGGGATGAAAGTTTGTATTGGGAAGCAAGTTGAGTCGCTAGTGTATAATATTTTACTTTTAATGTCGGTTGACACCGAATTTCAAACTGAGCTATCTGACAATGCTTTAAGATATAGGTAAATATATAATAGGTTAATATGACAAGATGTGAACTTTTATTATAGTTAAAATATTTAACACACATTTGTGATGTAATTTATGATATCGAAATAGATTTGCTCTACTTTGTATCGGTTCGGACAGACTTCAGAAATATCTGATTAGGTATCTGTAGTAAATGAAAAGCCATATGTATTACTTTTTGATGTCTGGAAGTCGGGTTTATATTATTTTTTCATCGAGTGGTATAAATATTTGTATATTATGTAGTAAAAATAAATTTGGAGCCGGAAATCATTTCAAAATTTTCCTCCCAAAAGACTCAGATCTGATGCAATCGTATTACTAAGCTACGATATTCATCCGTCGGTGCATCTAATATCTCAAATATACTATTACTTTATATACTGTTAAGTATTTTTACGGTTAACTGATTGATTTCGTCCGTTATAGAAATTCGAGGAGAATTGCCTATAGTTCTAAAAAGAAATCAATATTAATTATATATGTAAGATATTACAGGAAATACGCATTGTTTATTTGAATCACTTCACTTTATATATGCCACTCATTTGGAACTGTCGTGCAATATATTTTAGATTAAAAAATAATTATTTATTAAAGTCCTCACCTAGACATGTGGATTAGTTGCCTATAGATATCAGGGATAGATTCCTTCGAGTATTAAGTGATTAGTCAGACGTTACACTGAATCTTCACTGCAGTATTCATGAAACCACAATGAACACACTGTAATCAGTTGCATTTCTTCTTACCGGCGTTATAATACTCTCCACACATTAAGCAAATAACTTTTTTTATGCATGTACGCATGCTACCTGTAGACGTACAGGTTATGTGGGACTTACTGGCTAGAAAGGCTAGTAATACCCACTAAAATCTCCACCGTCTTAATGGGGCGTCGTAGATTCGTGCATAGATTCGTACAAAATGGTGGATTGTTAAAAAAACAAGACCATAAAAATGTTACATTATGAAACAATTTAATACTATTTAAGTTACGAATTTAGGAAAAAAATACTGCCAACTATTTCAAAGATTATAGGTATTCTAACGTTTTAATTAACTATACTTACATTATTTTACGAATAAGCACCAAAAAAATAATTAAAAGTGCATAATTTGCGAATAAAAAACTTCCACACTGACATTAACTTTCGACTGACGTATTATGGATGCGTTCGATATCACGCAAAAATTTCATTTTAATTTTTAAATTGAGTAGGCATCTATACCCTATAGATGTCTCTCCCTGACTTTCCCTACATATTTTGTGAAAGTAAGCGATCACGGTATCATTTGCATTGATTAATTTTTGTGTACATAATATTATTTTGTTGAAATATTTTATTTTTATATGTTATTGTTGTTAACTCATGCCCTAGCGTGATAAAACGTTAAATAAAACATATGCGTAAAATTAATATAATACTAAGCAAGTAACGCGGATTTAGTTTGCACATTTTTAGGGTTCTATGTTTTAAGGAAAAAGTTCGAATTGTGGGTAAATCTTTTAAGCCGTAAAAAAGAATCGTAGAAGTTTATAAAAGAATCTTTAAGTTGAAATTAAGGGTATATATGTAAAAATATGGTAAAGCTAATATGTTTTTTTTTGTTTTTCAGGTCCAATAACTAAAGGATGGTTCCTAACGAGGAAACCATATCAATTGATAGGTCTTGTGACCGCCTATTACTATTTCTGCACAAATTTAGGACCACGTCTAATGAAACATCGGAAACCATTTCATTTGGCAAAAGTATTGCTAGTCTATAATGTGGTCCAAATTACTATGAACTTTTATTTAATTATTGAGGTAAGTTTTACTTTTTATTTGAATTTATATCATCATAATCATGGCTTTACAGCTCAGAATAAGCCTTGGCCTGGTAAAGTATATTTTTCCAGTTTTCTCGATTTACGGCTGTCTGTCTCCATCTCCTGATACCAAATGCTCTAATGTCCTGCTCTACGCCATCCAACCACCTGAGATTGGGCCCGCCTCGACATCTACACCCATCTGGTTTACCCTCGAGTAGGCGTTTGGGCATACGGGAATCCTCCATACTCACTACATGCCCAGTCCGAGCACACGTTCGATTTTAATGGTCTTAATAATGTTTATTTCTTCGTTAAGCTCGAGATTGTAACGCGTTCGCCAACATTCGTCCTCTAGAACTGCTCCGAAAATGCGCCTAAGTATATCGCGTTCGAACACCAAAAGAGCGTTTTCGTACTTATTGGTCAGCACCCAGCATTCTGACTCATATGTCAATATTGGTCTTAATAAGGCCTTATATACAAGGAGCTTGATGCTTCGTGATAGTTTTTTGGAACGAAAATATTTTAGCAAACTGAAGTAGCACTTGTTTACCGCCTTAATTCGTAAACCGCATACATACATATTTAAATCAAATGTTATTTATTTCCCGTCCGTTGCCATAGAATCATGATTTACAAACTTATTTTAACCAACGCAAAGCTGTAAGTTAGGATATACATATATGTTGACTCAAAAGTCTGATATTATCTCTTTGTTCTCTCTTTTTAGTAAGATGAAACTTTTGTGAATATAACGATATGTGAATCATGAAAATTGGTTTACCAGTTTAGTAATAACGACGGATCATAGGATCGTCCATACATACAGGTCAAACATATAACCCTCCTTTGAGATCCATAGTCCAAATCCATAGATCCTTAGTCGGGTAAAAATAATACTAATATCCTTTTTGTTAATTTAGGGTATCAGATACATTTTTCTCTCTAATTATTTTGACATGCGCTGCAAAGGACTTGAAAGTGATGAGGATATAGCGACATGGGTGAGTTTTAATATTGCTATAGTTATAATACACTTAATAGATTTAGTTATATCTTTTAAATTTTTAGGATCTTTGATGTCATTTCTCTTTTCTTACAAAATATTGTATAATTTTTGTGGGCAGACGCGGTCTATAACTGTAAATTAAGAGAGATCAAAAACTATAGTCTTTCTCGTTACCATGTTTGAACTTAAATATTCGAAACGTCGGGAACAAAATACTAAAACAAAAAAATGAACTATTATTTCTGAAGCCCATTTTTACATCAGGCTTTACTACATGCTATGCCAAAATAAATAAAAAAAACTATAAAAAAGACTTCGTCACTTCGATAGAATAATCGCGTGTGAAAAGTCGTAAGGCTGGGTTATTTTTGTAACACACAAAAATGATGTGTATTCAACTCCACATGCTTAACGTCTCACTGCTGGCCACGAGCTTCTCTTCAATACGACGGGGTTTAGGCCATAGTCAACCACGCAGGCCAAGTGCACATGTCTTGCGAAAAATGGCTAGGTTCTCTTGGACATGAAGGTTTCCTCACGATGTTCTCCTTCGTAATCATGTTGAAAGTGATTCGCACATGAGAAATTATATACGAAGTGTATATGATAATTAATATTATATTTACATTTGACATATGCATATAGAAATATTTTACGGAGAATCAATATTTTCTTTGTTTTTAAGGTTGCTGACGGCATATGGTTAGGTTACATGTTAAAAGTATTAGAACTACTAGATACAGTATTCTTTGTACTTAGAAAGTCATTTAGGCAAATTAGCAACTTACATTTGCACCATCACATCTTAATGATAACAGCTGGATGGTTTGGAACCACTTATTACCCTGGTAAGAATAAATAATTAAAATACCCTACGTGTGAAATTTTATAAGGATGCGTTTGTGATAAAACTCTGCACATAAATAAGCCATGTCCTGAACTAGGTAATGAAGAATAAAATAACAATTCCATGGGATAGTAGTTAAACTTTAATATTATTTTAATAACACATTGTCCAAAATGTATAGATTTTATAATAATTTACTAGCAATATACCCTCACTTCGCCCGGGGTTCCCTAGGGTTATTAGAAAGATTTTTTTGGGCCCGAAATATTCGGGGCCGCATGCAAAATAACTCACAAAATTCTTATCAAATTGGATGAACAGTTTAGGAACGCAGAAGGCAAATATTCGGACAAAAGGTGATTTTTATTATAATTTATTAACTATAAGAACGCTTTAAGAACTTAACGAAATATTTCTCACGCAGTTAAAGTAGCTAAAAAATTGTTCGTGAAATTATTGGGGCTAAGTGTGAGGGCGCTTAAAGCAAGGAGATACCTACATTATTTTATTAAGTAATATGCTTAACTTATTAACTTTCCAGGTGGCCAGTATGTTATACTTGGATTTCTCAATTGTATCGTCCATGTGATTATGTACTTCTACTATCTGATCTCTGGGCTTGGTAACAGATATAAAAAATACGTATGGTGGAAAAAATATGTAACAATTATTCAACTTGTACGTATAATTTTATTATAATATTTTTGTAACTTCTAAGCAATTATTGTAACTTAGACTGTATTAGCATTTTTCAGGGTACACTCTATTTATTATTGTTGAAATATAACGTTTTCAGTATGGTGATGGTGATGGGCCAAAAAATAGATTATTATGAGTGTATGTACATGACATTTTTGATTAATCTATAATAATATTAATCACCTCCAGGTAAATTTCTAAGAAATCTATTGTTAAATGTAACGCCGGCGTGTCCGCGATCGTGGACGGATTAAAGAGGTAAAGTTTGTGAGATTATGAGTTTGCGACTTTATAGGAGGTAGTCTTTAGATCTACTGAACCGATTAGATGAAATTTGGTAAGAAGATAGTTTGAGACCCTGGAAAGGACATAGGATACTTTTTATCCCGGAAATCATCCGTTATGGGGGTGAAAATGGAGATGAAAGTTTGTATGGGGAATCAAGCTAGGGACGAACCCAAGCGAAGTTAGGGTGAGTGGCTAGTTTTATTAGTATAAATGATGATTTAAAAAAGGGGAGTACATTTCTGTTATATTATTTTAAGTCAAGGTTAAATGTCTATTGAATTTTTTTTGAATAGTTTGTGTTAAAGAGGATTCATCACTTCTACGCTTGGCTTCTATCACAGTTCAAAGGCTGTGTGTAATAAAAGCCCCGTTTACAGTTTTTCATTTTTTTAATCTATTTGCCCGTGTAGAGTGTAGATGATAGAAAGGTACATATTATAATGCATCTGAACAGATTTTAATTGGATGTATTCCACTGTGAGACTCGTCTCTTCCTTTAATGGGTATCAGGGCACATCTCATCCCAAATGTGAATTCTCTCAGATATGCTAGTTTCTTCTCTGTATTTTCCTTCGTTGTATTATGTTCGCCGTATGATTTGAGAAATGGAATACAACAAGTTGCATTACTTGGTTTTAAATGGAGCGGTACAAGTAAAATATTAATAAGCCAAGTTTTAATTTAGAAGCTCAGTGATTTATTTTTAATAGATATATACAATTGTGTAAGTAATATATAAAATAGTTTATGAACATAAAATTAAAAAAATATTTTTTGTTGCAGGTCCAGTTTGTTTTAGTTGCAATCCATAATATTAACAGCATATTTTATGAATGCAACTATCTGTTTGTGTTTAAATTCTTAAGTGCATTTTATAGTGTTTTCTTCTTTATTAACTTTGCACAATTCTATTACGAAACATATGTAAACCCCAAACAAAAAAGGAAATCTTCAAATAACATCAAGAAACAATGAAGTATCTACTACATGAATTCAAAATACTCAAATTAATTATTATTTATTATTAAAATATACTTCGATAGCATTTTTACTCATGTTTTGTATTATGATCCCCTAAGACCCTTATTACTTACGATTCTAAGTACTTAAAAGTTAGATGCATAATAACTACATAATACATATTGTTACGTTCTATAGTTCAGGGATCGGAAATTAAAGCATATCTTTTGCTGATGTTTCTTCTGATGTTTTATTTCTCTTGTTTAACAAGAGTGATTTATGGAGATTCACTGACATGCGCTGTATATATACACAGTTCTAGTTAATTTAGTCAAATACAAATAGCAATTAAAGTTTAAGTAGGTACCTTAGACCCTAATCATTTTAGACCAATTTCGGTACTGCCAACGTTTAGTAAAATTTTTGAAAACATCATACTCGCGCAAATGTTAACGCATTTCAATGCACATAATCTACTTCATAAGAAACAATTTGGATTTACGAAAGGCCGCTCCACGGCAGATGCTAGTGTTGAGCTAGTGAAAAATATTTTTGAGGCTTGGGAAAGGTCACAAGATGCACTTGGGATATTCTGTGCCATATATAAGGCCTTTGATTGTGTACATCATGAGACGCAGATCAGGAAACTGCATCACTACTAAATAATAAAAAGACAAAATTAATTAAATTCTCAACACCTAATGTCAAACTTGTTGTTAATGGTGTAACATTAAATAGCAAAGTGTTAAAAGCTGTAGAGTCCACTAAATTCCTAGGAATTATCATAGATTAGAAATTGCAGTGGGGCCCCCATATTGAGGGGCTAGCGAGTAGACTCAGCTCTGCAGCGTTCACGGTAAAAAAGAATAAGACATCTTACTGATGTAGATACAGCTCGCATAGTATATTTTAGTTATTTTCATAGTATTATGTCCTATGGTATCTTACTATGGGGAAATGCAGCTGCTATTAATACGATTTTTGTCCTGCAGAAAAGAGCTATTCGTGCAATTTATAGTCTACGTCCTAGAGTGTCATTAAGAGATAAGTTTAAAGAAATAAAATTATTGACTGTTGCTTCTAAGTACATGTACGAAAATGTTATGTATGTCCGTAAAAATATACATGAATTTTCCAAGAAGTGTGACATGCATAACATTAATACTAGGAGCAAACACAAACTTGTAATGCCTGTGACTCGTCTACACAGAGTTAGTAATTCTTTTTATGGACAATGTATACGCTTGTACAACAGGATCCCAGAAAATTTTCAAAAGGCTTCTATCGCCAAATTCAAAAAAATTGTTTAAGAATGTTTGTGTGCTAAAGGCTATTATACAATAAATGATTTTATAGAAGATGGCACACCTTCGGAATGAAATGATCGCCTCCAGGCTACTTCAAATTGATAGAAATATTGTAAATTATAATTTTACTTTAAAAAGTCAATATTAGTCCCGCTGAGTTTCTTTCGCCAGTTCTTCTCAGGTCTGAGGCTTCTTCTTTCCAAACTGGTAGTAGACTCATGATGTTCAGTAAAAAATTGTAATAATTTAATGCTGAATAAAATATTTTGATTTGTTTTGATTTGAATTATTCCGATGATATAAAGACATTTTGACAATTAATTATTGTTACATCATTTTATAAATTATAGTACATACTGTAATATTATCTCACAATATAGCCCGAGAGCTCGTGACGAATTTTGGGAAGGTCCTTTTGGCAAGTTGAAATTGTGAAAAAATATAATTTCGTGAATTGGCGAGTCAAGTCCCGCGAGTCTGGTATAGCGTAAGCTGTTATTTCGCTACTGCGCAGTATATAACATTTGCAAAAAAATATAAAAAAGAAACATATTTTTGGCAACTTGATTATTGTTTAATCTTTTAATTTAGTTTTCATATAATTCAAAAAAAAAAAGAACCCCAGACGTTTCTGTCGGTTATAAAGTATTGCCAGACCTCTCCAAAGACACGTTATTATAATTCCAAAAAATATACTTTCGGTAATCTGAAATTTTAATCACGTATTTATTGAGTAATTTTCAATAATACTTGCAAATCGCCACACGAATTTACCGGTTTTAAACCATTCCCAGACGTAAATAAAGTTTACAAATGAGTACTACAAAAAAGTCTTATGCGTAGCCATAGGTGCGAGAAAGATAGCTTATCTCGAGGTATGCCAACAGTTGATTT